TCGCACCCACACCCACGCCCACACCCACACCCACACCCACACCCACACCCACACCCACACCCACACCCACACCCACACCCACGCCCACACCCAAAGCCACACCCACACCCACACCCACACTCACACCCACACACCCACACTCACACGCACACCCACGCCCACACCCACACCCACACTCATACCGACACCCACACCCACACCCACACCCTAGTCTTCACGCTAATTACTATCTTGTTTGAAATAATATGGTACATAATAGTGTTATTGTTTTAATGAATGGCATACATGCCTACTTTATTAATTCATAAACTGAATTTTGTTTAGCTTTTTCTTAGACATCATTAGTCAGTTACTCTCTTTCTGCAGTGTTTTAAAGTTGCTATGAGTCAACAAATTCGTTTCAAACAAATATATACTTGAAGAAAAAAATTTAAAAGAGACGAAAGAATGATACAGGTAGAAAAATAATCAGGTATGTGCACATTGCTACTAGGCAACGTAAATAGCAACAGAATGATGGTGTGGGAGTAGATATAAGGAATTCGTAATTTTAAAGCATAATCCGAAATCAAACAGATGTATTTGCCTTGCTATTGTTGGTGGAGTCCGTTATTCTCTTGCATCAATCGATGGTTCCTCTGGAACACCCTAGAAAAATGCTGTATTCATCTTAAACGCGAAACTTTCGAAAGATTGACAATGAAAATCTTCAAAAGTCGTGTTTAGTACAAGAATATTTTATCCCGATCTGTACTAAGATGTGTATCAAGAAACCGCAATAACAAAAACAAAAATCTTAATGGAGATGCTAAAGATAAATACGAACAAAGGCTTCTATCTCTTGCCTACATATTGGACATGACCGTAGGGAGTGACCACAGGCAACACAAGTAGCAAAATGTCCGCATGGAATGCATGCAATGCGTTTTTCTTCACACATACATAGAGCACAAGGATTTGTCAAATTGGTAGCATTGGTTTCCATCCGTTCTGAAGATGTAGTTTTATGAGCTACGTGTGAAGTTGTTATTTCGGTAACAGTTGGTTTTTCCGATACCCTTGAATCCGATTTACTATGGCATGCATTCGATGAATGTGTCTCTTCAACATGTGAAGTAATTGATATAGCAGAATTTCCTTGTGCAGTAGAAGTTGAAACTGATGAAGATTGATCAATACGCGCTTCTAAATAATTATTTCATAGCAAATATTGCTGCAATAAGCGTGTTTTCACAAAGCATACCCTCTTGTTCCTGTCGATTGATTTGTTGCATTCGCACGCTGGGCACGATAATATTGTCTTTCTTACCGTTAATATGATCGATCTGTTTCTGAAGAATGATGCAAGCTATCAGTAGGTCCACATCTGTTTCGAAGTCATCTTCTGAAATAAAATTCTTCATCGTTAAACAATCTGCAGATCAAAAAGAAGGTCATTTATTTTTACGTTTCAATCGAAGCTGATCTTCCCAACATCGTTTGATGACTGACAATTTGAACGGTTTATCCAGTAGTCTTTGTGACACTGGCAAGTCGAGGCGAGCAGCAACAAAACGTGACAATGTGCTTTCATCAGCTATTTGTAGCTTTTGCGTATTTGAGTTTGCGTAGTTTGTTGACTGATTTGCTCCAGCACGTTCTAGCAAAAAAGTTGACAGGATTTATACTTGAGACTAAGTTTTTATATAGCAAAAAATTTGTTCTGAAATTTTTATCACTCCAAATACTGACTGTTGATAGCTTGTTATTTCAATATAACTGATTAGAAACAACGATTTCATTTTATTACGAAGGGAACTTGATATATTCTACTTCTGTGACACTTATACATTTCGATTGATTTGTGCCGCTATCATGTTAGCTGATATACCACTCAATCCAACAATGATAACCCATGACACAACTTTTGCGTGCGTGACGAGGGATGTCATAATATCCGGAACTCGCGTATCGAGATTTTGAAACACCCATATATTCTTCAAAAGTGAGGATTTTGAGTGAATTTGGTGCAACGAGATGGATACCCGAAATGGATACCCTATCTTATAAATTTGAGGATTTTGAGTGAATTTTGAGTGAATTTTGAGTAATGTGGTGGATAGCCAAATCGGTACCTGATTGGTTTTTTCTCGTTAAACGGCAGGAAGGTATTTCAAGATGTGATACCGTGCGTGTATGTTGTCGCGTTGTCAAGCTTATTGGTCACCAACATCATGTGGGCCGGTGTGCATGTGTTGTATCGGGTGCCAATCGTTCCGGGGCACCCACATAAGATGGTGTCGAATTGGTGTTTGGCCTTTTGTGAACTCTTTGGCGCCACCCGCACTAAGTCTCGTGCATTGGATGTGGTGACACCGAGTTGATGCATATCGTGGAAGTAACTTCAGGTGGTTTACCATTTGTTAAGTCCTCCAAGTGGATTCTTTCGTGGCTTCCAAAGCAGGTGCAGTGTTGTGGGTGTCTTGACCAATGTGTTAGTCCTCTCTTGACACCCACAGCAGGTGTTGTGTGGTGGATGTATTGAGCGCTGTGTTAGTCCTTTTGTTGGCACCCACAGCAGGTGTTGTGTAGTAGGTGCATTGATCGCTGTGTTAGTTCTCTCTTGGCATCCACAGTGAATACGTTACTCTGCGTATATTATCTGGTGCATCCGTGCCTGAGTGGCAGTGGTAGTCGGACACCTACCCCCGCATTTGAATTTCCCTCTGAGATTATGACCGAAGATGAGATGTGTAATCAGTGACGTAACATCGAAAACTACAACCGAGGATCGTCCAAAGAGAAAACTACACAAACATCGTAAGGGATCAACTGCTGAAATCATTAAAGACTTGGTCAATGTTCCATGTTTTGACGATAGAATCCGCTGGAGGTTCGGTAAAGTGATACAAAAAAAGAAGCAGTTCCAAAGAACTTGAAAAGATTCATTAAAGTTTTGCGACAATAATATCCGAAATCGGTTATTCAATGTATTTTCTTATCATAGATAAAATAATAAACTTCTGTTTTGTTATTGGAGAAGATTATCTTTCTACTAAAATATTTTTTCTATTGGCTATTGGATAGAGCAAAGAGTATTGTAGAATGATGCAAACATACTTTGCATCATATTCACATCGTTGCTTCAAACCCATTCAAAGTTCTCACTATCTGAGGATGGGGTATCCGTCTTATTACACCAAATTCACTCAAAATCCGCAACTTTATTAGATAGGGTATCCATTTTGGATATCCATCTCGTTACACCAAATTCGCTCAAAATCCTCAAGTTTATAAGATAGGGTATCCATTTTGGGTATTCGCTCAGACGAATATCGTGACTAGTACCTTCTCGATACCCAGCCTTTGGATATTATGACATCTCTGTGCGTGACATTTGCGCATCGACACTTACACACAGCGACAGTTCCACGCATGAGTTTGCCGGTGTGCGTGTGTATGAAAATTTCAGTTCTAAAGACTCCGAGAGTTAGGCCGAAGAGCTTCTACACAGCTCCTGTTCACTTGACCTAGAGCTGTCCACCACCACGTCTACTAAGAAATGAAGAGATGTAACCAGCAACTAGAAGCATTCTTGCCGATGCTAGATAAATGCCTGAGGTTCCTAAAGGCTAATGAGTGGACGCTAGATGCATACTTCTAGAAAACTTAAGCATGCTGTTGTCAATGGAAGGCATGGCTGTAGCATCTATACACATGCTTCTAGCTTTCCCAAGAATGCTTCTAGCTGTTGATGACAACTTTTCTATTCCTGGTAGATAAACTGGTGGGCAGCTCTAGTTCATATGAGCTGGGTTCCATAAGTGACAACTCCAGCTGGTGAACAGTGCAACTGCCAGTTATTGCAGCTGTCCACCATTTCCACTGCAAGGGACTTCAACTGTTCAACGACATAGCTACGAACAATCAACTCTTAAGATACTACTAGCAATCCTTGAGAATCTATTTCCATTCTTTAAGATGCTAGAAGCATACCTGATGATAATAAAAGGGTTTCTAGGGATGCTAGAATCGTGACTGAAGATGCTGGAGGCAGGAAAGAGTCTGTTTATGGCAAAGGCAAGTATGTGATGCTTGAAACAGGTCTGTGGCAGCCATTAGTATCCTCTGGCATATTCCTAGCATTATTAGGTCTCCTTTTAGCATCATATGGCGTGGTTGTGGCAACCTCAACAATACGAGTAGCATACGCAGGATGGTTAGTATTATTCTGAAGGATACTTGTGATTAGATGATGTGACGGACAGTTCCAGCTCCTGCTTCTGGTAGCCGAACCGGTGGGCCACTCCGAGTACTGAGACTTGCGTTGATAATGATCTTCACCGCACGAGGACCGCAGCTGTTGAGTAGCTCCAACTCTCGTGAGATGTAGAGCTAGACCTGCCACAGTTCAACAGTTTCACTCGTGCGCAGTAGTGTTGTGGGCGTCAGTATCGCTACACGTAAGTGTCACTGCGTGTAAGAGTCGTGTGGGCAACTGTCGTGTAACCCGATAACCTACTAGTAAATTTTGTTGCGGCGATGTTCATCCAACTAGATAATTATGTATAGTCATTTTTGTCACTAGCCACTATAGCAAAGTCAATGAATAACAAAATTCTTTCTCTACCGATATGTAGATAATCATTGTTTTCACAATATGTGCAGTGTTTCCGTGCATTTGACTGATTAAAATAAACTCAAATGACTCTAATTGGTCTCATTAGCAGTATTACTAGAAGCATACATATTCTTGATGTTCGTACCATGTTCATAATCCTTACAGTTATTCAAATCCTGAAAATAACTGAGATCTTCAAGAGTTGTACCTTCCCACATAATTTTCTTATTTTTATGCGTCTCGTAGCGAATCACGTTCTGAAAGCTCAAGAGGTCTTACAAATTTAAATAACAAAAAGAAAACAGAGGATTACAAGACTTCGCATTGTAAAAACTCAAGATTTCTCATGTCGAAGGCAAATTTTCACTATTCAATATTGTTTAAGTTATTAACATATTCACTAACCTTGAGTCAATCGTTTTGAATGTTGGATTTTTTGGTAAAGGTCATCGCCACAAAGTTGCTTGGCATAGGCACAATGAGGAAACCATCTTGCATGCTCTATCATTGGGTTATCATTAGGACCCCAGTTCTGAAGTGATCCATTACAATAAAAACATGTCACAATCGTATTTATACCAGTATAGAAGAATCCTGCTCGAACAAGATCATCAATATTTGGTAACTGCTCGCTGGACCAATTAGCAAATGATGCATATCGTCTCGGTATTTCCATATATGTGCTATGGCAAGCTGTAGTGGATACAATGCCGTTTGAACGAAATCCTTCGGTAGCTGCTACTGATGATGTCTGATTGCTCGAAGGATTTTCATTCAGAATCACTAGAGATGTGGTACCACGACGTACTAACACATCGATTACGTAGGGACATTTTGACGATAGAGTTTTATGTACTAACCATGGATCATCTGCATTTGGCGTCCATTGCTGACAGATGAGATTACAGTACAAACATATCACGCGATCACCGACGTTACAGTGGAAAAATCCAGCTTCAATCATTTGTGCTCGAGATGGCGACTTCTTATGAGGCCAATGCGAGAAAGTGCGACGGCGTATTTTTTTTATTAGTTCTGTTTCGAAAAGCGTCTGTATCTGAACTTTATCGCTGGATACTTCTAGCTTTTGACGTTTACAAGAATTCTCTGATTCATCTATATTGATAGCCGGTATTTGGAGTGTAGCAGCCATTACAGATGATGGAAGTAGTTGAGATCCAAAGTTTGGTGCTTTCAGAGAATGAACAAATGGACAATTCGGACTACGGTCTGAATGAATAGAAAATGGATTCATATCGAGTGTCCATTCGGATACTTCAAGTTGGCATCGATCGCATCGAGCGGTATCTCGGATATTAGTATAGTGGAACCCCGCTGCCTTCATACATATTATCGAATGAACTCCTTGTTTTCCTGATAGATCGCGATGTAACTCCAAAACTTTACGACGCACATCCGAAAAGAATTTCTTTGCTTCAATGTTCCTGGTAACGGGTCTTTCCAACAGAGCTCTGCGAGAATCGACGGAAGTAGTCTGCTTGGGAGCCATTTGGTTGCCATCAAGTTCGACGGATTTAGATTGTATTACGTCTGGTTTAGAATCTACTATGCTAAATCTTTCAGAACTGCAATCATTAAACCGCTTGTCTTGAATGCTAGCCATTTCCGATGCAACCGCTTGATGTAATATAAGTTCTTTTCCTGTTTGAGTTGAGTATTGTGATATTTTCTCATCAAAAGTGTAAGCGTCATTAGTTGTTAATTTTACAGTGTGTGGGATGTCCGTCTTCAAATCTATGGACTTTGATGTCATCATTATTTATAGGTTACGCAAAGTCAAATAAAGAAGAAACTAGAATAAGGTTAAATAAGATCTATATCTGAAAATATCAACAAAAGTTCATCATCACTTATACTACTTTTGTGAAAGCAATCTGAACGGAGTGTTGAAGTGTTCAAGGGTAGAAATTTGTAGCTCTGGCCCGGTAAGACCGTACCAGACAGGGCTTTGCACCCATCACAGACCGTAACAGACAGGCTGTGGATCCATCACAGAGAGAAACTGTGGTTCTTAAGCATCAGATAAATGGAACAAAGTGATTTCCATTTAAGTAGTAACAATAGATCCACCGTGTTCCACGTTTTTAATCCCTCAAAGGATTAAACCAAAACTTTTTTTAATGAACGATCTCAAAACGAACACAAGTGTGAATGCAACTAGGGGTGTCACACTTACCACTTACCATCACTTCCACATACCAGGTAAGTAGTAAGTGTTTTAGTGATGTAAAAATGATCGGTATAATACTAATTAATTGTTATTTGAATCATTGATTATTTGTTCTAGCATCGTAATCTTCACCACTTACCACTTACCAGAAAGCGGTAAGTGGTGACCACTTACTACTTCCTGGTAAGTGGTAAGTGTGATACTCCTAATTGCCTATGTGAACATAACGTACATTCAATTTGACAAAGAGTTAATATAATAAAATAGCCAGCTTACCTTCAGTTAAGGAGGGGGGGGGGGGGCACCGCCACCCCGACACACACCCAAATTTTTTCATTTTGTAGGGTTTGGCCC